TCCCTGCCTGTCCCCCCCGCCTCCTCCCTGCCTGTCCCCACACCAGAGCCTCTTCTGTACAGAGACTGTCTCCCTCCTCCACAGTCATCTGAAGCTCAAGTCTGAGCCTTGAATGGGCCCCAGCCCAGGAGGCCCAGGACCCCACTGACCTCTGACCCTCCGAGTCCCAGCCTCGTCTCAGGCCTGCCTCGCCGGGCTTCTCGGGATCCCCAGTGGCCCTGTGTGCTCAGAGTGCTTGCCGAGTGACTGTGAGGGCGTGAGTCTGTCCCGTGGGTCAGGAAACTGACTGGTGTCGGCCGGCTACTCGCCTGCCTTAGGACCGCCCTGGTCGGGGTGGGGGTGCTCCCCCTGACCCCTCCCCTCTGCCCCCTGCAGAGGCCAAGCCTGGGAGCCTGAGCCCTGCTGTCCCTGAGCATGACAGTGGCTGCCAGGCGGTGGCTCTGAGCAGCTGTGTGGCAGTGTGCTCCCCTCCATGTCCTCCGCCATGGAGGCCCCACGCCATGTCCTCCGCCGCCCGGTGATGCGCCTCCCCCCTGCCCTGGGGACACCTCGGGTCCGGCCTGACGGGGATTCACCGCTTGCCCCTGTGTGCCCGGCCCACCCTGTCCACCTTCCGCCCCTGTCCACGCCCCCGTCGAAGGCAGCTTCCTCTGGGCAGCCTGTGCTGCGGCCCCAGGACTCGGCTGTGCCAGGTGGGGTCTCCTCGGGCAGCCTGGGGACCCTGGCGAGACAGAGGGAGCAGGGTGGGCTCGGAAGCCACCAGGGTCCGTCCAGGCCCCGTGGAGCATGTCGGGCACGTGGTGTTGCTGCTCTGGGCTCTGTCGGGTGCCCGGGGAAGCCGCACCAAGCCGGGATCTGTCCTCCAGGAGTGGCCGTCTCAGGAAGATGTCCCTTGTGTCACCAGGAGCGAGGTGGCACCTAACCGGGTGCAGGTCGGGCCCATGCAGTGTGATGGGGCGCCGGCCTGGCCCCACACTTGACCGGGTGCGCGGTGTCCTGGACCTCTAGTGGGTGGTGGGCCGTCATCTGTGTGGCGGGCGGAACCGATGGCTGTCGTGATGTCGTGGTTTTGTTTCCAGGCCTCACCCCCACTCTCCTCTCCTGAGTCCGGGGTCTCAGCTGTTAATTACACGTGCCCGGCGGCCTCAGCGCTAATCCTCTCAGTCAGATGGCAGAGGTGACGCCCAGCGCACTGCCTCCTGTCCCCCCGCCCCCCGGCCGCACGTGCCCACGGACTGGCTCCCGCTGCCTGCCTCCCGCTGCCTGCCTCCGGTTAATTAGGGCGGTCATGGCCTCCTGCCGCAGCGCGGGAGCAAGTCGGGGTGGCTGCCCGCTAATTGTGGGTGCGTGGTCGGGGATCGATGGCCTGCTCTGGCTGGCGCGTGACGCCTGCCCTCACCCCCCCCCCCCCCCACCCCCGTGGGATTAGCTGCTAATTGTCAATGGCCTCTGGGTCCAAGTGCACCTGGGCCCCCAGGCTCCCCCACCCCTCCCCCTTTAGCGATGAGAAATGAGGTTAATCCAGGGAGGCGGGGGCTCCTCCGAGGAGGGTAGTCTGAGGGAGGAGAGCCAGCCTGCAGCCCAAAGCCTGGTGCTTGCAGGGCGTGGCGTGGGGAGGGGGTGTCTGGCCTTTGACCCCCGCTTTTCCTCCAGGCTCTCCGTGGCCTCTGCCTTGACCGATGGTCCTCCTGGCGTGTGTTTTCCTTCTGGCTTGGGTCCAGAGTACAAATGTCCACCCTCTGCCCCCACGAGCTGAGTGGGAGATGAGCTGCGAGAGAGGGAGACACAGCAGCCTCACAGAGCCCAGGGGTGGGCACACGCAGACCAAAGAGGTCTCCACGTATGGTGGAGCGGAAGTCGCCAGAGGAACGGAGTCCTGATTCAGCCCTGAGGTGTGGACGACCCTTAAGAAAAACCCTTGGCTGAGTGAAAAGCCAACGGGGAAGGTCCCACACCACGTGACTCTGTTTGCAGGAACCGCCCAGAGTAGGCACGTCCTTGGAGATGACAGGGATTGGGGGCTGGGGTCTAAAGGGTACAGGGCTCCTCTGGGGTGATGGCGGCACGGCCGTGAATACACCGAGGACTGAGGAATTGTGCACCTGAGACGGGGGGCCTGTGCTGTGGGAATTCTGTCCGTAAAGCCATTATAGCCCCGGGGGCGCCTGGGCGGCTCAGTGGGCTGAGCATCTGACTCGTGGTTTCTGCTCAGGTCATGATCCCAGGGTCATGGGATAGAGCCCTGCATCTCTCCCTCTCCCTCTGCCCCTCCCCTGCCCCTGCTCACTCATGTGCGCGCGCGCGCGCTCTCTCTCTCTCTCTCTCTCTCTCTCTCTCTCTTTCTCTCTCTCTCTCTCACACACACACACACACACACAAAATNCGCGCGCGCGCGCTCTCTCTCTCTCTCTCTCTCTCTCTCTCTCTCTCTCGTTAGAAAAAAAAAAAAAAAGGAAATCCAAGGGGCGCCTGGGTGGTTCAGTCGGTTAAGCATCCGTGTGACTGTTGATTTTAGCTCAAGGTCATGATCTCTCAGTTCGTGAGATCGAGACCCGCATTGGGTGCCGAGCCTGCTTGGGATTCTCTCTCTCTCTCTCTCTCTCTCTCTCTCTCTCTCTCGGCTGGTCAGCGCGGACACCAGCCCCCCAGCCCCCGAGGGCCATTTCAGAACCTCAGGGAGGTCCCTTGCCAGGCAGCTCAGCTCACAGGTCACCCCCCTGCCCCCTCAGCGGTCCTGAAACCAGCTTCGTGGGGCGGGGGGGGGGGTCACCGACTTGGCCAGACAGTAGCTTGCTTGGCAACCCCAGAGGCTGTCCCCACTGAGAAGGGAAGGTGGCCAGCGCGCGCTATCTCGTGGTCTCACATCTGACCAGGCTAGCTGGGGGTGGCCTGGCCGACTTGGGGTTGCAGAATTCTTGCAGTGTGGGCTGTGGTTGCTGCTTCATCTGGGGGGATCGGGGTCACCGTTCAGGGCCAGCAGCCCTCAGGCAGCCCCTCACTGCCCACCTGGCCAGGCACACGCAGGTGGGATCTGGGAGTGAGGGACACCCGGCCTATGTGTTGTTGCCAATACTGCCGAGCAAAATGTGCTGCCGGGCCGCTCTGGGGTTGGGACTGGGTGTCTCCCTGTGGGGCCGCCTTGTACAGTTACCCATGTTGTGCACAAGCCTAGTCCTGGATGGAAGCACCTTGCTTAGGGCAAGGCCGTCTTGATGTCACCGGTGCCGCCACGTCCAGCCGCTCTGCTTCCTGGTTCTGCTGCTGAGGCCACACCCGGCTGGTCAGGGCCTCTGGGGCAGGTCAGGGCCATAGATGGCCCCACAGTGCCGCCCGAGAGCCAGAGGCCACCCTGCCCCCCCTTGAACACGAAGGTTCCATTCAGTAGCGTGAGCGAGGCCGCTTGCTGCGGAGGCGAGGGTCCCCCGGGGACAGGCCCGTTTGGGGTGAAACCCAGCAGGACGCCTGCAAACCTGTGGGATTCTCCCTCCGCAACGGGTGGCTTCTGCTGACCCTGCCCCTCCCCCCACACAGGTGGGGCTCCTGCAAACAGAAGGGCCCATCTGAACCCTGCAATTGTCCGCGTTTGTCCTTTGAGTCCAAGAGCAAGATGGGGCGTCCCCGGGCTGCCCGAGCCCGGGTGTCCCACCCCCTGCGACCAGAGGCCAGCGTGCGCCCCTGGCCCGCCCGGTGCGGGGCCGTCACGCTGCCCCAGCCGCGGTTCGTGCTTCAGCTGCGGGCGTGTGCCTCGGGTCCACGTCGGTGGTCTGTGATGGGGCTTGGGCGGTGCGAGCCGGCGTTGTGTGGGCACCTGAGGGGGGTCTCCTTCCTCCTCAGCGTGCAGGCCGGGCGCGTGTGTGTGCAGCAAACTTCATTGAGCCTGGGTGGGGATCTCGGGGACCCCCAGACAGTACTGGAGGCCCCAGGGCCAGGATGTGCCGAGTCACAGGGAGGTCAGGGCTGGTGCCTGCTGGGGGCGGGGACCTGGGGAGCAGGACACACTTGAACACGGTTACCACCCAGCTCACACTCTGCCCCCACTTCCCGGCCCTGCCCACTCCATCCCTCCTCCAGGGGGCATCGGGTGGGTGTGATGCTGGGGTGCAGGATTCTTTCTGGGGTGATGTCAGTGACCTGGACTAGGAAGCAGTGGTGATTGCACAGCCCAGCGAATGTGCTGGAAACCACCAGCCTCCGCGCTTTCAATGGTGAATTAGGGCTCGATTTTTAAAACTTGAAAATAGGCTGCGGTGGATATTTAAGAAACGAAAAGATAAGTGTCCCTCAGCTGCTTCTCTGTGTTCCTCCCTGATGGCCCCGCCGCCCACCCCATCCACCCCTGTGACCTGCTCTTTGCTGGCCACCAGGGCTTTCCCTGCTGCCCCTCTACCTGCAAGCAGAGGGCTCAGGGGCCCGTTATGAGCCTGGGGGGCCCTGGCTCTGGCCTTGTGGAAGGGGGTCCGGTCTGGCAGGCGTGTTGACCAGGTCCCCCCGCCCCAGGGCTCAAAAGGCAGCCCCCGACATCGCACATCCTGCCTGCCTGACATGAGACGTGGCCCCGTGGCCCTGAGCTGCGCTGGGGCTCGTGTCTGCGTCAGCGTCCGAGGGGGTGGCCCTGCCTGCGCACTCTGCTGCGCTCGCGGCTCCTTCGGCCTGGGGCTGGGGCTGGGGGGAGGGCGTGCGCGTGGCCCGAGGTGGCCGGGGAAGCGGGTTCCCTGCCCGTGTGCAGGCCGCACGGGGCTGGGGCAGCGGGAGCCCTCCGTGCGTGCGGCCCCCGCTCAGGCTCCCGTGTCCTCCGGCAGGTTCTTCACTGAGCAGCGAGTCGTCCCCCGTGTCCTCGCCAGCCACCAACCACAGCTCTCCCGCCAGCACGCCCAAGCGTGTGCCCATGGGCCCCATCATCGTCCCCCCTGGGGGCCACAGTGTGCCCAGCACACCCCCCGTGGTGACCATCGCCCCAACGAAGACGGTCAATGGCGTCTGGAGGAGTGAGAACCGGCAGGTGAGCGGGGCGGGGGGGGGGGGGGGGGGCGGGGCCAGGGCCGCTGCTGGGAAGGGGGAGCGCGTCTTGGGATTGAGACCTCTCGCCCCGACTCGCTCTGCTCTCGTGCGCCCGACTCCGACTCCTCCTTGGAGGGTGACAGGACGCTCGCCCGAGGGTCCATGTGCTTGAAGAGAACGCCAGGGCTTCAGGCCGCCATGACCAAGCACCCCACCTGGGGGTCCGAGACCCCGCGGCCTCACGCGGCCTCTCGCCGTGTGTCTGTCATCTCCTTTGTTTCGGTGACACCAGTCGTGTTGGATCAGGGCCCACGGGAATGACCTCGTTTTAACTGAATTACCTCTCCAAGGCCCCGTCTCCAACATGAGGATGTGGGGGGACATGGCTCAGTCCGGAGCCCCGCGGGAGCCCCGCGCCAAGGGCTTCACCTGGTGTTCGCACCCCGCGGCACTCGGCGGGCGGTAGCTGCGACCTGCCGCTCCGACGCGGACCGGAAGTAGGCAAAGGCCGGCGCGGTTTCCGTGTGTCCCGCCTTCCTGTCTTGACCTTTGAAGGCCTCACACGGGGGGTACCCCTGGGTGCAGCTGTTGCCGGGTGACCTGCCAGTGCGGGAGGCCTGGGAGCCTCCTCCGTTCCCGCCCCGGCTGACCCCCCACCTGCACCTGGGTATGCCTCACGGCGAGTGGGGGGGGTGTGAGGGAACACTTCTGGCTCTTTCTGCTGAGTCCCAGAGGGATGGCAGTACTTAGAAATACTAATTAAGGGGCGCCTGGGGGGCTCAGTCAGTTAAGCGTCTGACTTCGGCTCCGGTCATGATCTCACGGTTCATGGGTTCGAGCCCCGCGTGGGGCTCTGCTGACAGCTCAGAGCCTGGAGCTGCTTCGGGTTCTGTGTCTCCCTGTCTCTCTGCCCCTCCCCTGCCCACACTCTGTCTCCCTCCCTCTCTCTCTCAAAAATAAACACACAAAAAAGAAAAATACTAGCTAAACCATAAGAAAAGTGGAACGAGGGAGCCAGGTGGGCGCCAGCCGCCCCCACCCCTACCTCCTGGTCATCTGGTACATCCGTCTTTCCTCTGCTCTGGGGGTGGGCAGTAGCCAGCCTCTGTCCACAGAAGGGGTGACCCTTGGGCAGGCCCTGACCTGCGGTGAGGCCCCACCAGGGACCCAACCAGGATTCCCGAATTTCTAGAAGTGCTATGGGCTGGTCCCCTGCTGGGTGTGGCCCTGGCTTGGCCCCCGTGTCCCGTGGTGCAGTCTTGGAGGGGGGGCGGAGGGGGCGTGTCAGGCAGATTCCAGCCGGAGGGGTTCGGAGCCCCCCGAGCTGCCGTGGTCCTGCTGTGCCGGGGAGGGTCCTCACCGGGCCCCTGCTGCCGGAGGGGCGCTCTGCCTCAGGCCGTCAGCCACCTGGCGGTCCACCTTGACCACAGGGCTCAGAGAGTCGCCACTCCTTGCCCCTCCCCGCCTCACTTGGCCCCGCGTGGCTTCTGGGTCCTGCCCTGTCCCTGGCTGCGCACTGGCTGGTGACAGCCGCCACGGGCCGCACCGTCGCCCTTGCCCCTGCTCTAGAGGGGCTTCCTTCCCACCCCCTCTGCCCAGGCTGGGGGGCCTCGCGTCTTCCCCTCCTCCAGCACCCGTGCCGCGGGCCCCCTCGGATGGGTCCTGACTGCCTCCGGAACATTTAGTAACCCCCAAGAAAGGGCCGTGATCGATCTGCTCCAGCCACTTACCACCGCGGCGCTTAATGAAACACTGATGCCACCAGGGAGGGCGGCGGGAAGGAACTAACTGCATTAGCAGATGATACATGGCTCGCCAGCTCCGCACAAAGGCTCAGTGGAGAATGTAATCCTTCTGGGGAGGGGAGCCGGGGAGAGGCGTGAGGGCGGGGGCGGGGGAGCCGCTTCCTAAAGTCCTGGCACATGGGGGTGCGGAGGTGTGGGGGCAGGGCCCTGGGCCTGTCGCCGGGTCACGGGGGCCCTGTTTCCCAGGTAGTGGGAGCCGCACAGGACGGCTGAGATGAAAAATGGTCCATTTTGAAGCTAACAGGGCATGTCGAGCCTGTCTGCCTGGAACCCTCTCTCTAATCACCAGAGAATGAAGGGTTTCCCCCCCTCCCGCCCGCCACCTCGCGTCTTTTCATCTCCGGCTGTGCCCGCAGACTCGGCTCGGAACGAGAGCTGCCCCCAGATGCTCCCTGACGCACATCCGTCTGCCAGGGCGGCGGTGGGAGCCCCGCGGTGGCCTGGCCCGGATTGGGGGGCTGCTCCCTGGGCCCTGGGCCGCCCCCGCATGACCCCAGAGGGCCGCCCCCGTCCCCAGGTGCCTGTGGCAAGCCTGGCTGGGCTCCAGCCAGACGGAAGGCGCGCGGGTCCACCCGCTACGCCCCCTGCGCGCCCGCCAGCCCCTCCCCCAGGGTCTGTAGCGCCTTGTTTGTCCTCAGCCGGCGGGAAGGTGCCATCTGGCCCCACCGCCTTCAAGCAGGGCTTTGTCCCGCTGAGGGGAGAAGGGGCGGCCGGAGCCGGGGCGCTCGGAGCCCCCTCCCTGGCTCTGCTGTTGATGCCGGGGGTGGTGCCCAAAGCACGTAGAGGTGGGGGGACAGCCGGTTTGGGGCGAGCTTGCCCAGATGTTGTCTTGGGGGAGCCGATGCCCTCACGGCCAGCCTGAGGGCACCGTCCAGGCTGCCTGGAGTCCCCCTTCACCTCCGCGCTGGGCTCGCTCCCGGGGAGGGCGCCTCCTGTTCAGCCCAGCCCAGCCTGCGGCGGCCCCGCACCGGTGGCGGGCATGTGGGCGGACCCAGCAAGCCCTGACCTGGGAGCAGCCCCGGGGACGCCGGCGTGGGCGGGCGACATGCCGCTACATCACCGCGCTTCGTTTCTGAGTGTCCCTGGTGTGCTAGGAGCTGGCGCGGTAATTGGTACGCTTGACAGATGGGGAAACCAAGGCATAGGGCGGTTATGGGTCTCATCTGGGGTCTCCCGGAAGCAGACAGGAGCCGTCTTCAGTAAGGCCAAGGGACAGCCCAAGGTGCGGTCCCTTGTACAGGAGTCTCTGGAAAACGGGAGTGGGAGTTCTGGGCTGCTGGCTGTGACCTTAGGTGTCGGGGTGGGTGCGTGTGTCTCCCCCCCACCTTCACCTTGATACTTGCCCTGTGACCCCCCCTTTGGGGAAGGGCGAGGCGAGTTCACCAACCTGCAAGGACCCCGCGGTGAGCGGAGGGCCCTCCCGGCGCGAGGGAAGGAGCAGATGTTGCCGCTCATTAAAAATTCCAATCAGCGGCTTGTCTCCTTCAATTAATTATCGCCGATGTGTCTTCTGGAAGACCAGGGAGGGCGCGACAGCGGCCTGGCACCGGGCATGCTTGGTAGACGTGCCTGACGTCCTTGCCTGGCCCGTGGCAGCTGCTGGGGTCAGAGGGCACAGCCGCGGAGATGAACGTGGGGCTCTGCTGGCACCCACCCCCCGAACGTGCCAGAGGATGTGCGCCTGGTGGTCTAGGGAGCTGGTGCATGTCCCCGGGGGATGGGGCTCAGCCTCTGGCTGCCCAGCGGTCACTCCTGGACAGGTCGCTCGGCCTGCCCGCTCATTGAGGAGACCATCGAAGGGCTGTGGTTCCCCCTTGTTTTCAGGGCACTTGGTGATTTGTGGCTCAGTGGAAACTCATGCTTTGGGGGTTGATGGGCCTGGGCTTGACCCCCATGACCGCCGCCTGCTTTCTCCCGGCCCTGGTGGGCCGTCTGCGGATCCGAGCAGTCAGACCTGATGCCTGGGGGAGGGCCTGGCCGAGAAGCTCTCGTGGCTCAGGGGAGCGGGGGTGAGAAGGGCCGTCCCAGCGATGGAGGCCGCCACGAACACACTCTGAGCCTCGCTGCGCGACTCCCCACTGGCCGCGTAAATGGCGAGAGCAGCCAGTACCATGGATGGCGTGCGCTCTTGGGGCTGGACTGTCCAGTGGTCAGGCGTGCGGCGCGTCCCTCCTCAGCTGGCACGGCACGCCCTGCCCTAGGTCTCGGTCGGGGCCTCCCCTTCCTCCTCCCTCCCTGCCTTGAGGAAGCCCCTCTCTGGTTTCCCTGGTTTCCCAGGGTCAGCCTCACCCCCGGGCCCCCGGTCTCAGTGTCCAGGAGTTGCCCCCAGCCCCCACCAGCGTGTGCTAAGCTGTCCCCGGAGAGATCTGAGCGGCTGCCTACCGTGCCTGGTGCCAGGGACACCCCATGGGGCGGCAGGGGGGTTAGACAGGCGTGTTCAGCCCGGGGGCAGTGCCAGCGTCTCTGTGGGCACCAGGGGCCCGAGGTGTGTCTGGTGCATGCTGGCAGCTGGCGGCACAGCTGGTGCTCCGGCCCCGGGGGCGGCCTGCGCGTGTGTGGCGATGAGCGAGCGGGGGCTCCGGCCTCTCTGTGCTCCCTGCTGCAGAGCAGAGCTCGCTTCCTGGGGCCGCTGGGACGTCCTGTGACTCCCCATGTCTGGGTGTGGAGCCGGCGTGACCCGGTGGGAGGCGGTGCTGGGAGGGCACGGGCACATGGGCAGCGGGGGCCCCTGCTCTCATGACCCCCACAGTCAGACAGGTTCCAGTCCAGCCCTGCCCGGCGTTCGAACCTGTGTCCTCTCTTCTCACCGTGCTGCCCCTGCGTGCGCGGCAGGTTTGGGTAGAGACCTTCCGGGAAGACGCGTCCCTGAGCGGGCGCCCAAACCAGAGCCTCGCGGTCTGGCCCCGCGCCCCCGCCTGACTCCTGCTCTGTCCCCCAGCAGGACGCCGCCTCTCGGGGCAGCAGCAGCGGTCGGGAGCGCCTCATCGTGGAGCCCCCACTGCCCCAGGAGAAGGCGGGGGGCCCCGCCATCCCCTCCCACCTGCTCAGCACCCCCTACCCTTTCGGCATCTCCCCCAGCTCTGTGGTGCAGGACTCCCGCTTCCCACCGCTCAAGTAAGTGCAGACCGGGGGCCGGGGCCGCTTGGGGTCTGGATTCCGGAGGCCCCCGCGGTGTGGGGTGCCGCCGGACGGTGGCTGAGCCCTGGGCTCTTGGGACCCCGGGGTGCCTCCCGGCTGTGGGAGCCAAACCCATTTCCCAGCCCGGAGCGGGAGCCGAGCTCTCGCCGTCCCTCCCTCACCCGCCCGTCCCTGTCCCTGCCCGCAGCCTGCAGCGGCCCGTGCACCACGTGGTGCCCCCCAGCACCGTGACCGAGGACTACCTGAGGGGCTTCCGGCCCTACCACACCACCGAGGACCTCCGCGTGTCCTCCCTGCCTCCCCTCGGCCTGGACGCCGCCGCCGCGGCCGCCGCCTACTACCACCCCAGCTACCTGGCCCCGCACCCCTTCCCCCACCCAGCCTTCAGGTGAGGCACCCCACCGAGTCATCCGGGGCCGTCCCCCCACGCGCCCTCGTGTCCTGGGACCAGGCTCTGCGTCTCAGAGTAGCCCCCGAACCTTCCAAGTTAGCTGTCAGGGGTTTGCTCCTGGTGGGGGGCCCCCCCCATTGCCTGTGCCGCCGGTTCCCCACCTGCTCCCTGTTTCACTGGCGGCACAGCACGCGGCATCGCGTGGACGAGGGGCCTCTTTGCTGCGTGACGGGGAAGCCCCAGGGGCGGTGTGCCCCGCGTCTGCTCCGTGCGGGGGCTTCCCGCATCCTAGCCGCGGAGCTACGGGAAGTAGGCTGCTGCTCACGGACCTCCAGCTGCGGCTGCCCAGTGGCCCCTCGGGCGGGGACTTCGGGGGTGACCGTGGCCATGGCCTCTGTCTGCAGGGTCTTGGTGGAGGCTGGCGGCCGGCCTGCCCCGTCCGCCGCGCTCGCCCCCCCACGTGCCCCGGGCGCCCCTGCTCATGGGGCCGGAGTTTAGTTCCTCTCTGGTTCTCACTGGCGGCCCGTCTTCCCTGCGCAGGATGGACGACTCCTACTGCCTCTCAGCCCTGCGGTCCCCCTTCTACCCCATCCCCACGCCCGGCTCCCTGCCCCCCCTGCACCCGTCGGCCATGCACCTCCACCTCTCCGGGGTCCGCTACCCCCCCGAGCTCTCCCACTCGTCCCTGGCGGCGCTGCACTCGGAGCGAATGTCCAGCCTCAGCGCCGAGAGGTAAGCCGCGTGCCCCCCGCGCTCGCCGCCCTGCCAGCGGCAGGGCCTCCTGGCTGGTGGCCCGGGCCCCTGCACCCCTGCGGTTGCGGTGTGGCCCGCGTCTGGTCCCCTGCGGGCCCGCGCCCGGCGGCTGTCACCCCCTCCTCCCGCGCGCCTGCAGGCTACAGCTGGATGAGGAGCTGAGGCGCGAGCGCGAGCGGGAAGCTGAGCGCGAGCGCGAGAAGGAGCGCGAGCGCGAGCGCGAGAAGGAGCTGGAGCGGGAGCGCGAGAAGGAGCGCGAGCTGGAGCGGCAGCGGGAGCAGCGGGCCCGCGAGAAGGAGCTGCTGGCGGCCAAGGCGCTGGAGCCGGCCTTCCTGCCCGCGGCCGAGCTGCACGGGCTGCGGAGCCACGCGGCCGAGGAGCGGGCCAAGCCCTCGGAGCAGCTGACGCCGACGCGCGCAGGTACCCTGGCCCCGCGGGGACCCTCCCCGGCCGCCAGCGCGAGGCGGCGGGGGCGGGAGGGATGCTCACGGGTCCTGGGGACGCGCAGCAGCAGAAGTGCAGCGACAGCGGGAGGAGGTGATGGATGGGTTTGGGGGCTCTTTGAACCTTCGTCCTGAACGTACTTCGTTTCCGCGCGAGTGCGTGCGATCAGACTTGTAATCCGGGCCGGTGACCAGCTGGCCGCGGGGTGGTGGAGAATTCGGCCTGCTCGCTCCGGCACCTGGCGGGTCGGCTCCAGAGCCGCGCCCGCCACTGAGCGCCCCGGGCTGGGGGTGGGGGGCGTCTTCCTGCACGGGCAGCAGGAGAGTGGGGGGGGGGGGAGGCCGGGGCCGGGCCTGGGTGCCGCGCTCCTGCCCTCATGGCCTCTCTCCCCCACAGAGAAGCTGAAGGAGGCGGGTCTGCAGGCCCCGAAGCCTGTGCAGCACCCCTTGCACCCGACGCCCGCCCCCCACCACACGGTGCCCGGCCTCCTGTCCAACCACAGCATCTTCTCGCTGCCGGGCAGCAGCGCGGCCACGGCCCTGCTCATCCAGCGCACCAACGAGGAGGAGAAGTGGCTGGCGCGGCAGCGGCGGCTGCGCCAGGAGAAGGAAGACCGGCAGACCCAGGTGTCCGAGTTCCGGCAGCAAGTGCTGGAGCAGCACCTGGACATGGGCCGCCCCCCGGCGCCCGCGGACACGGAGCACAGGCCCGACAGCGCCAGGTGGGCTCTCCGGAGGGAAGGGGGGTGGGGGGTCTTCACACTTGCGTCTGCTCGTAGCCAGCGGGCACTGATTGGGCGCCTGCTGTTGCCCGGTCGCCCTCTGACCCCGCGAGGAGGCGGAGACTCTGAGCAGGGAAAGGCAGCGCGGGGGGGGGGGGGGGGGGGGTCCCCGAGAAATGGGGCCAACCAGAGCCAGGCCTCCCCACACAGCCTGGCTGCGTCCCTGCAGGGACAGTAGTGGCGCCGGGGGGGGGGGGGGCGGGGGGGGGGCGTGAGAAGCTTTGATTGATAATTACACCCGTTTTTTCCATCTTCCTCTGCTTTCAAGCCCAGACCTTTTTTTTTTTTTCTAATGAGAACAGGGACTGGGTTTAATTTTTATTTCAATAAGAAATTAAGTTTGTTGCTACTGCAATAATTGATATCCGTTTGCCAGCCCCATTCCGGGACTCCCTGGGAGGCCGTCTCTGGGTCCCCCAGCTGGTGACACTTGCCTTGTGAGCTGAGCCCCGTCTTACACTCACAGCTGCGCCCCGAGCCCCCACGCCCCCTGCTGGCCTGGCTGTCACCTAGTGTCTCCTATCCCGCCTTCGTCCCCCTCATCAGCCAGAGTTGGGGGAGAGGGCCTGGCCATGTCTCAGGCCCACGGGATACTAGACGCCGTGTCCTCAGAGGTGCAGAGGCCGGGTGGGAAGGTTTGTGGAGTGTTCGCCGGCTCTCGGTGCCTGGGACGCTGTCGGGGTCAGAGGCTCTTTCAACGTTCACCCGCTTCTTCTCTCTTCCCTTGAGCTTGCAGCCCACCGGGCCCTGGGCGCTGCTGGCCTGGGCGACGGCCCAGGGCGTCCACTGTTGAGTAGGGGCGGCTCCACTGGGCTGGGGTGGTCGGCCGCTGGGGTTCATGATGGCGGGGCCTCCCACCGCGGCTGAGTGTCCCTGCAGCCGACAGCCAGGGCTGCCTCCCAGGGCTGCAGCGAGGGTTCCCTCTGCTTGTCTGAGGCCCCACAGAGGCCAGGTCTCTGAGTCTCCTCATACCCAGGGGCCTGGAGAACAGCCAGCGCACCTCGGCACCTCCTGATGAAATCGGGTGTTCGGAGCCCCACAGGGGTCTTCCTCTGCCCGAGGCCCCCATGAGCCCCCCTCGGCCTCAGGACCTAGCAGCCCCGTGCGGGCCTCCTGGCCTCCATGGTCCATAGCAGCTAGCGCCTCACTCGGCCTTACAGCGATGTGAACTTGACTTCTGAAGGGCCCTTGTGTTCCGAGTTGAAAAGCATTCAGCACTCGGCTCTGGCACATGAAATACTTATTCCACTGACGGGTGTTACTCCTTGGCTTGTTTACTTAAGGACACACGGCTTCTTGATGCGGTTCCCTTTTGTCGGCGGATCAGGGGTGCCGTGGCGTTGGGGTTGTTTTCCAGCCTGAGTTTGGGAGTAACGTGGTGGGGACGTGGTTAAACGTCCTCACTCCTTGGCCAGAGTCCGGGGGCCCTGCTAGGGCAGAGGCAGAGCGTCTCAGCTGATGGAAGGTCCCCTCCAGGTCCCATCTGGGCCCGTGGCCGGGCTCTGTGAGCCCCCAGTGGGTGTGGCAGCCGCTCTGGGCCACGTGGGGTTGCCGCCCTGCTGCTGGGCGGCCCTGGGGCTAAGCGACAGCACAGACCGCACTGGCTGTGAAGGTCTCCCCTGAAGCTGATCTACCCCCCCCCCCCGGGCTGGGCAGACACCTGGCGCCTCTGGCGGTGGGTGCCGGTGACAGACCATGCTGGTGGCGCAGCGGCGGAACCTTGTCATCCTCTCCGTGATGGGACTCCCTGTGGAAAACAAAGACGAGGGGCTCTCCCTATGGAGTTACAGAAGGAGGTGGAACAGAATAAGCCAGGTTGCCAGTGAGAAACGGGAGAGGAAGCAGGTGTGGCTGAGAGCATCTGTGTCCTCAGCCACAGCGTCTGGCTTTGAGCCTCCGTGCCCTCTCAGAGCAGGCCCACCGGAGACCTGGCTTAGCCGTGCGGAGGAGGGGAGCCCACAGGCCACTGGCCTGGAAGGGGCTCTCGGGGGAGTTCCCGTCCGGGCCACCTCAAGCCGCCTCTCGTAGCCGGGTGGGCAGCCTGGGGGTGGCCGCCGCCACGACTGACGGCCTGCCCCCACTCGCTCCCTAGGCCAGGACCCAACCGTCCGGAGCCGGGCGGCCGAGACCCCCCGCAGCACTTTGGCGGGCCCCCGCCCCTCATCTCGCCCAAGCCCCAGCACCACTCTGTGCCCACGGGCCTCTGGAACCCCGTGTCCCTGATGGACAGCACTCTGGAGACGCGGCGGGCCCCCGAGAGCCACCCTCTGCACAGCCACCCCGCCCCGTTCGAGCCCAGCCGCCCGGCGGCCGTCCCGCTGGTGAAGGTGGAGCGGGTCTACTGCGCGGAGAAGGCGGAGGAGGGGCCCCGGAAGCGAGAGGCCGCCCCCCTGGACAAGTACCCGCCGCCCCCGCGGGACGCAGGAAGCCTGGAGCCGCAGGCCTACCCCCACGGGCCTGGGCCCTTCCTGGCCGAGCTCGAGAAGTCCACGCAGACCCTCCTGGGCCAGCAGCGGGCCGCCCTCCCCCAGCCGGCGCCCTTCGGCGAGCTCGCCGGGCCGCTGAAGCCGGGCTCGCCCTACCGGCCCACGGCCCCCCGCGGCCCCGACCCCGCCTACGTCTACGACGAGTTCCTGCAGCAGCGCCGGAAGCTGGTCAGCAAGCTGGACCTGGAGGAGCGCAGGCGGCGAGAAGCCCGGGAGAAAGGTGTGTCCCCGGGGCCCGAGCTCCTGGCAGCGCGGGCGGTCGAGCCGGCCGCCCCCGCCCCCGTTCCCGCCCCCTCTGCCCGGGACAGTGGCCAGGGGCCCTGCGGGCGCCGCCACAGCGCACACGGTCCCCAGAATGCCAAATGAAAGACGGTTCCACGGACGCGCGTGGTTCATCAGTGATGAACAGAGGCTAATGAGGCAGTTGTAAATATCGATAGTGCAGCGTAACGGGAGGGAGGAGGCTGTTGGGAGAGCAGAGCAGACCTGGGCCCGGGGCGGGGGGGGGGGGGGGGGGCAGGAGTCTGGCCCCTCCTCTTCGTGCTCCTGCAGGGGTGGGGGCGCAGCCAGCAGGCCCAGGGAGAGAGCAGCGGTCCCCCCACCTGCACCGCGGTCCCGTCGGACCGGGAGGGGTCGGGCTGCTCTGGACCAGTTGCTTTTCTCCTGCCAGAACCTGGTGCTGTTGAACTCAGCCTCTTAGCCAGAAGCTGGGGCCAAGGCCAAGTCTTCCTGGCTTGCTGATCTAGGCTAAGCTTAGAGCCCAAGGAGTATTTTTCTCCACCACTTGCCTTGTGTGGGAGGAGGAGGGGGCACCCTGGCGCCCCGGGGTGCAGGGGTACTGCTCTCTGCATGTGCGGGCTCCCTGCTCTCTGCATGTGCGGGCTCCGAGCCTTAGGCGGAGACTTGAATGAGCCTGTTCCCTCCTGGGTAGTGGACCCAGATGGCAGGAGGGACTCGGTGGGCACAAGTGGCCTTGGGTTGCCAAGGACACAGCCCCAGGCCTGCAGAGGGGTTCACTCAGGCCACTTCAGCCTGGTCACTTGGGATCCAAGCGCGCCTGCCTCCGGCATCTCCCCCTGCCCAGCCCCGAAGTCCTGAGGTCCTAGGACCAGGGTTAATGCACGTTTACACCTGGGGTGCAAGGAGTCTGGGGTTCGGGGTGCGCAGAGGGGCCGGCGGGGCTCCGTCCGATGGGAGCGTCTGTGCGCCCCTTCCCCCGAGCCCCGGGGCCCCTGGCACAGCTGAATAAACCCACTCTCGCCGCCAGGATACTACTACGACCTGGACGACTCGTACGACGAGAGCGACGAAGAGGAGGTCAGGGCCCACCTCCGCTGCGTGGCCGAGCAGCCGCCGCTCAAGCTGGACACGTCCTCCGAGGTACGTGGGGCCCCCTCCCCGCCAGGCCGGGGGCCGGGCTGCCGGCGACCCCCGTCGGTGCCTGCTCCTTGGCCGTGCTCCCACCGTCCCGGTCAGCCTGCACCCTGTTCCCGCCGGCAGCGGGTGTCCGGACGAGCCACTGGGGCCGTCCTCTGTGCGCCGAGCTGGCCTGCGCGTGGGCTTCACGGGCCCCAGGAGGGGCCCCTGGGACGGTGGAAGCAGGCCACGGCCGGGGCTTTCAAACTTCTTTGTTTTCTTTCCCAATCTAGAAGCTAGAGTTTTTGCAACTTTTTGGCTTGACCACCCAACAGCAGAAGGAGGAGCTGCTGACCCAGAAGCGGAGGAAGCGGCGGCGGATGCTGAGGGAGAGGAGCCCGTCGCCCCCGACAGTTCAGAGCAAGCGGCAGACGCCCTCGCCGAGACTGGCACTGTCCACGCGCTACAGCCCCGACGACATGAACAACAGCCCCAACTTCGAGGAGAAGAAGAAGTTCCTGACCATCTTCAACCTGACTCACGTCAGTGCCGAGAAGAGGAAAGGTACGACCTGGCGCAGGCCTCGTGGGGGTGGGGCTCGCTGGCGGCCCAACATTGCAGAGAAGCGGGGGCTCTGGGGTCCTGGGGGGGTGCCCCACACCTGTGCTCCTGGTGGAATCTGAAAACCCTGGGGTCCTGGGGCTCTCTCGGCTCCCTCTGCCACCGAGGAGGCAGCCGCTCCGCTCTCACACGCCTGCCCCGGTGTCTGTTCAGCATGCGGCTTCTCCATCCCAGACACAGATGGCCCCGATCAAAGCACATTTGCTTATGTCACGTCCTGGGTGGAACTGAAGGCTTCGGGTGGGGGGAGAGGGGCAGGCTGAATGTACAAGTCCACTGTGAGCTTGACTTAGAGTCAAGCCACTCTTGTCACTTGTCAGACCTCCTAGCACCTGGGACGGCAGGTGGGGCGACCCCCCACCCCCGGGCACAGGTGGAGGTGCGCCTTCCTGCACAGTGGGCTCTTCCTCTTGGTGGGTGACCATGGGGGGTGCGGTCTTTGCATTCCAACCATAGAGGGCTCGGGGTGGTCTGTGGCCACCCGGCGGAACCAGCACACGCTGCTTTCAGACAGTCTGCCCTGGAAGATGCTTCCAGATCCTTCCAACCACCCATCTGTGACTCTTTGGGCCGGCCTCTGTAGTGCAGCAGGGGTGTGGGGTCTGAACGCTTTCCAGCAGCCCCTTCCCCAGTCTGCCCCACACGCTCGCTTACTTAGCGCCAGGATGTGGGTTCAGCTGAGAACCTGGCCGGTTTGGAGAGCGCGTGTGCTGACTTCCAAGCCCTCCTCGCTGACACCGGGCAGTCACTTCTGTCTGGAAAGAAGTCGGAAGGAGAGCGGACGGGCTTACCGCTCACGTAGTCAGCGTCCACGTCGCTGCTGGCGTGCCATGGTTTCCTTTGCGTTCTTAACCAGTAAACCGGGGTCCTTGTTTCCCTGAAAGAGGCGGCGGCGGCGGCTGTGGTGGGCGCCAGGACAGTCCCCGGGGTCCCCGGGAATGGCCACGGTTCTGTTTGTAAAAAGCGTCTTTTTGCCTGACCTCATTCCTAAAGGAAGCCACCGGTGGTGCAGCCACCTCACTTGGTTGGTGACAGCCGCCCCTGCGCTGGGAACTCGCAGAAACCGGCGTCCCAGGCCCTGGCACCGTCCTGGGACTCGCATCCACGCGCCCACAGCAGGCGGGGTGGAGGACGCGCCCCGGAGGACGTACTTCTGGAGGGGCTGGGTGGCTCCTGGGGGCTTTCTTTTTGTCTTTTAAATGAGAATACGTCCTCGGAGGTCCCCTCAGATCACAGGAGCCCGTTGTTTTCCAGCCGCACACACCGCGATCTTTGGACTACATCTCTGATGCTCTGTCTAGAGGCTGAGCGGAATCCGGGCTCACCCTAAACTGAAGGTTTCTTTCCTTGAGCACAGCCCATCCCTCGGCGCCTGCTTTGTTCCTGGTTTGGAGGACGTGCGCGTGCCGGCGCGGCCTGGGCTGGAGGCCCGCCCCCCCTCGGGAGTGCGCCCACTGCGTTGTTAACCTCGGGCTGCTTTTCCCATAGACAAAGAGAAACTTGTTGAGATGCTCCGTGCCATGAAGCAGAAGGCACTGTCCGCGGCAGTGGCAGACCCACTCAGGAACTCTCCGAGGGACAGTCCTGTCATCGCCCTGAGCGGTAAGGCCCAGGGCAGGAAGGACGCCCCTCCCGCCCCCGCCTGGGACTGTCCCACGGGCTGCCCGAGGTCAGAGGCGGCCGCACAGGGTCGTCTTCATCGCCAGTCTTTCCCTCCTGGAAGCAGCATTTCTCTCCGTCTCTCTCTCTCTTTCTCTCACACAAGCTTCCTGCACTATTGAATAGGCTGTTCTCTGGATGGAGCAGGAGAGCAGGAGTCGGGGCTGGGAGCCCGGGGGGGCGGGTCTGGGCTTCTGCAGGGCCGTGTGCAGCGGTTCAGTGCGGGTCACGGCCGCCCGCTGCCCGGGCCACGTGTTTTCGGCCCTGCCGGCCCCGCGTGTGTGCTCTTCTTCCACGTCTGTGTCACGCTTGTTCTGCCCCGCAGGCCTCCCCGACACCTGCTTTCACACCTCTGTCTCTCTCCCCCGCTCTCGTGGCTTTGGTTGAACCTCGCTGCGCTGCCGAGTGGAGCAGGAAACCTTCACGCTCCGGGCCTGCTCTCGAATCCTGACATGGTCTTTCTTGTCGGCTTGGGCCTCGTCACTTCTACCTGTTGGGTGACCTGAAGCGACTTGCTTCTTCCCTCAGATTCTCTTTCTTCTCAGATGCCTTCCTGGGGCTTCTCTCAAGGATGGACCTGCCGCCGAACACAGCCCCACCTTCTGACCACACGAGCTCACTGATATTTAATCACACGCGCCCCCCCCCCCCACCAAGTCTCTGTCCTTTGTGCTAGGGCTTTATTAAATGTAAGCTCTAGAGGTCAGGGTTGGCCTGTCTGCTTGGCGCACTTAACGTGTCCCTCGCTTTCTGTCTCTATAAGAACCAGCCACGCAGCCAGCCTCTCTGGATCCAGACAAGCCTGCGGGTGTCCCTGCTACCCTGGCTGACGTGCCGAAGGCCACGGAGCCCGGAAGGCTGGAGCAGCTCCGGCCCCAGGAGCCAGCCCCTGCCGGCGGCGAGAAGGCCAGGCTGAGCGAGGCCCCCGGGGGCAAGAAGAGCGTGAGCATGCTCCATTACATCCGGGGCCCCGCACCCAAGGACGTCCCCGTGCCGCTGTCCCACAGCATCAACGGGAAGAGCAAGCCGTGGGAACCCTTCATGGCCGAGGAGTTCGCACATCAGTTCCATGAGTCTGTGCTGCAGTCCACGCAGAAGGCGCTACAGAAGCATAAAGGTAAGGAGGCTGCCGGGCCCGCGTCCCTGTGGAGGCCGGTGGACACTCGCCCCTTGAACTTGAGTGCGCACGGGGCACCTGAGGGGTTGCTGAGAATTCACTGCCGGCGGGAGCCCAGGTGGCGCCGGGTGGCCCGGCCTGCCGCCCACACTCTGGGAAGACTTAGCGAGTGAGGCCCTCAGAGCTCGAAGCACTTCCTGTCGCTGAGGCCGGGGAGGGGACTTCCCGGCATTCCCACAGATGCGCCTGGAAATCTCCGCGTCCTTCGGGCACTACCCCTGGCAGGTGTTTGCTCCAGAGACCCCGCAGAGCACTAACACAGGAGCCCCCACGCCCCCTCCCCGCAGACATTGTGGCCCGAGTCCCCGAAGGTGGGAGAACGGGGGTCCCCAGGCTCGTTCTCACCGAATCAGAGGTTGAAAGCGATTAGGGAGGAGTCCCCGGTGATTCAGTCACGACGGAGTAGAAGAGCAGTTTCTGTGTGCCCCCAGAGCCGGGAAAAACTAATTGGGTTATTAGGCCAGAGCCTGTCCCTGTCACTCTGGAAGCTGGACAGCTGCTGCGTCAGCATCCGTCAGGTGAGTTCCCGCCATCGTCGGAGATGAAACAGTAACCAAAGGGCAAAGGATGGTGGTTTTCATTGCGACGATTGGGAGTGCTTTCCGGGACGTTTGTCATGAGCTTGCTTGGAAGAATTCTCCTTTTCGAGGACAGTGTAAATGCCCCATCCCCGTCCACCGTCCCAGATGCTCTTCTGCGGCCGCGGGACACCCTTTTTCTGCCTTGTTTTACATCGGCCCTTTTCTTGATGTTATACTCAACCACTTACTCAGTTTTTTTCTTTAAAGTTTATTTATTTTAAGAAAAAGAGAAGGCACAAGCAGGGGAGGGGCAGAGAGACTCCTAAGCAGTGCAGAGCCCCGTGTGCGTCTCGACCTCCCAAACGGGGAGCTCAGGACCTGAGCCAAAATCAAGTCACTTAGCTGACTGAGCCACCCAGGAGCCCCATTTTCTCAGGATTTTAAAGCCACCCGATTTGTGCCAGTTTGAGCCCTACAAGTCCATTGAGCGTGTCTGAAACAGCAGCAGAGGCTGCCGTCTACACCAGAGGCAGTGTGTATGCATTAGGACATGCCCCCCGTTCCGGGACCATGCTTTGAGGCAGGGCACACCTTGTATAAACAGGTCCCCAGAGCAGCTAACACCGGATGTGCTTGAGGGGACCACAGGACCCCTGCTTCCCGAAAGAGCCGGCTGGAGACCCAGGTCAGGCCCCGTTTCTGAGCACAGGACACTGACGCCTGGGGATGGGCATGGCCAAGATGGCGCACCCGTCGGGACTGCCGCGGGCTTTGCGGCTCTGCGACCTTGCCTTTGGGCACCACCGTGGATCTCTGACGGGCACCCGTGCCCCCTGCAGGCCTGTGACCTGCCCGTGCTCTCCCCGCAGGGAACGTGGCCGCGCTGGCTGCGGAGCAGAACCACAAAGTGGACACAGCCATCCACTACCACATTCCCGAGCTGCAGTCATCCGGCCGGCTGGCCGCACCCCCGCACAACGGGCAGCAGGAGGCCCCCGCCGCGAGGAAGGGCCCCCTTCCGCAGGAGACAGACCAGGACTCGGAGGGGGACGACGACGATGACAGGGAGCACGATGATGACGAGCCCCCCAGGCGCAAGTGGCAAGGGATTGAGGCAATTTTTGAAGCTTATCAGGAACACCTAGAAGGTATGATCGGGGAGGCGAAAGGACACCGACTAGACGGACCTGTCCCCGTGGAACCTCACTGCCAGCCCTGGGGACGGCTTCTGCGCCGTGGCCCTGGCCCTCGGGGATTGTCCTCAGCCACTCAGCCCGGGTCCAGCACTGTCGTCAGGCAGGTGCCCCAGCTTCTAGCCCCGGGGCCCCTGTCCCCACCCAGCGTGACTGCCCACACCTGGGCCATGCTCTCGGCCACCATACTTGGAAATACCCCGTTGGTCCTGACTGTGGCCACACATGGGGTCTGAAAAGCAGAAGGTGTGTTAACTTAGCTAAGCCCCCAATAGCCAGGCCCGCCTCCCCCTTGAGTGCCTCAAGGCTGCCGGGTGGCTCGTCGCCCTCGTGGGGCAGTGGGTGGGGGTCACGAGGCTTGGGCACTGTCCTTTGCCTCTGGCACACCGCCTTCCTCTGCTCCTCGGTTTCAAGAGGCCTCCGTGACCTCCAAGGCCGCAGTGCCTTGATCCTGGGGCAGTGCCAGCCGCGGCTGGCAGAGTCCGGGACCCAGAACCAACATGGAGCGTTTTTTAGTCTGATGGAGCAAAGTGTGTCGTCTTCCCTGGGTTGGCGCCTTGTCTGGGAATCGTTCCCTGCCCCAAGGATGTGCGCATTCTCTCTCCGTTTTCTTAAATTCAAGGTTTGCTTTTCTTCTGCCTAGAATTCATTTCTCTAACTTCACCTTTCTCACCTGCACCTTCTTGGTGGGTGGCGGCCTCCTCCCGGCCGCTTCCGGAGGCGCCCCCTTCTGGGACAGCCCCACTGTTCTGGGCCCTTGGGGTTCCCCCGTGGGTTTCAGGATGGCCTTGTTTGTGCCACCCAGAAAATTCCTATTCGAATTTCCGGTTGCATTGAATTCACAGATTTGAGAGCAATTGATCTTTTTGATGGTAATGCTGTTCTATCTGTGAATATGGCATTAGGTTGCATTAAGTAACATTTACTGGTTGTTGCCACGAGCAGTTCTTAGTTTTAGGTGCCAGTGTGTTCTGGGTGTTTCCGTCCTCGTCTTCCCTTAGGCAGTGCTAGCTGAGGAGACCCGGGACTAATGTGCTTCTCCCCTTGAACTCTGGGCTGTTGAACGGGGAATGGCACTGACGGAGCTGCTTCTCTGGTTTATGAGACTTGGATGAAATAAAGGTGACCGCAGGGGACTGTGTTTCCTGGGCGAGGACAGCCTTCTTTTTGTCCAGCTTTCGTGGTTCCTGATGTCAGCATGCTCCGCGCTGCACTGGTTCACGCTTTTCACGTCTTTGTTTGTTCTCAAGTAGCAGCATGCAGGACCCTTGCTCTGTTGCGCTGTCCCTTCTGGGGACCGTCCACACGCTCTCCCGGGTCTCCATTCTCGAAACGCTTCATAGAAAGGGATTTATCCTTGATCCTTGAAAGTTTGAAGTCACCCCTGTGAAAAGCAGGCCCAGTATCTTCTGGAAAGGCAGAGATTTTCCTAATTAAAATTATGTTTTCAATTTCGAAGTTTACTCTGGCCTTGGAGCAGCTTAGTAAAAGCTTTCAGGCCGCACCCTCGTTTTATCCAGCCTCCGTCCTTCTGAGAAATGCGTTTACCCTTGACGAGTTCCTAGCAGCCTTTTGACACCCGGTCCTTGTGGCACCAGGCTGGGTGCCCCTGTGCCGTTCAGAGCAGAGCGCTGGCCCGGAGAGGCATCTGCCTGCCCAGCAGCTCAACACGGCTTGTCTTTTCAGAGCAAAATCTGGAACGGCAGGTGTTGCAGACGCAGTGCAGGCGGCTGGAGGCCCAGCACTACAGCCTCAGCCTCACGGCCGAGCAGCTCTCCCACAGCATGGCGGTGAGTGCCGGGCGCCCCCCGGGGAAGAGGAATAAAAATCCTGGGTGGGTGCCTGGGAGGGGTTCCTAAAACACACTGGGCTTCATTCAAGTTCACGTCCATCACCCACACAGACGAGTTTTGAGAGGTGGTGCTGCTCCTGTGAGGCTAGAGCGTGTCGTCTTGGGGGTCAGGGAACTCAGGAGTCCGTTGGAGCCCCCAAGATTTAGCTAAGGCGGGGGCACTGTCTTACAGACTCTGGGTTCTGGGAGGCAGGAGAGGCTACTCCCGTCTCCCGTCAGGGGAGTTATTACCTGCATCTGTCTCCCCCTACGGTGTTTTGCTGGGGAGGGTGGGAGAGGATTTTACCGGAGGAGCAAAGCTCCCCCTCCGCAGCCCCCTCCTCCTGCAGCCTGGGCCCGCCGCCCCTGAGCGGCGGAGGGTGTATAGTACCAGGGCTAATTTTAAAAATCTCCGGGTCGGGTGCTGAGCCAGCAACCCATCCTGGGTTTAGGAGACCGAAGAGGCCCTGTGGGAACCCAAGGTGTTGGGCACAGTTTGAACCGGTTCTTCCAGAGCCCCCGCTCCTAATCCCGGAGCTGGGAAGGGGAGGTTTCCAGACTGGAGGGGTTTGCCTTGCCCCACGCGTTTTCTTACCGTGAGGTGAACGTGTTACCCGACGCTCTCTCTCCAGGAGCTGAGGAGCCAGAAGCAGAAGATTGTTTCAGAGAGGGAGCGACTCCAGGCAGAACTGGATCACTTAAGGAAGTGCCTTGTGTTGCCTGCAATGCACTGGCCTAGAGGTTACTTTAAGGGCTACCCTAGGTGACGGTTTCCCTTGCGCTAGGCCGAACCTATAGTATAGAAATATTATCTATTTTATTACCTTGAATATTTAATATTTTTCACTGGGAGGTTTGAAGCTTAAAACTTAAAAAAAAAAAAAAAAACAAAAAAAAAACGAGAACGTGCCATGCATGAAGCGAAGGACTCCAGGCTCCAGAAGGAGGGACTCGCCTTGACTTCGATGCAACTGGACAACCTCGGTCATTCAGCGAGCGCCGACGAGGACGCCCATGGTTTTGTTTTTGGGTTTTGTTTTTGGTTTTTTGGTTTTTCTTTGGAAAGGTGGTTTTCTTCCTCCCCCACGCCATTACGTTCTAATCTGAAAGCAAAGGCTCTCTCGACCAACACTAAAGCTGTCTCCCGGATGGCCCCTCGGCGCCCAAGACTGGATCAAACCGACTGCGCCAGGTTTCTGGGGCGGCCCCGCCACCAGAGCCCAGTCCCCTTCCGCCGCGGCATGGGATCGGCTCGCTCCTCCCCGGGACGGAGACCGGCTTTGGCAGAAGGAAGCAGGGGTGGGGGTGCCTTCTTCTGGAAAAGGGCTGCTTTGTTACTTTCCTGCAAAATTTCCTTCCAAGCAACTGGTCCTTGGAGCCCACAAAGCACCAGAACCGAAGCCTCGGGCCCACAGGCTTTTTCCCTGGAAAAGCCCTGATCTAAAGCGCATCACCCAACTGAAGGTACCTTTTCATTACTGCGTTGGGGGGGGGGGGGGAGTGTACAGAGCCCTATGTATACGGATGGCCACACCTGCCTGATTGTCACTGGGTGCGGTGTTTTCATACAAAACGTAAATTTTGAGAGAAAAGTCAAAGGTGCTTCAGCCTTGTACTGTGTATATATATTAAAAAGAAAAAACAAAGTTTTGTATGTTTTTATTACTTTAATTATTGTTATAAAAAAAGCCTGCCATTTTTAAATATGTGGTTTGGGGGGATTTTTTGTTTGTTTGTTTTCCTGTTTGGGGGTTCTGTTTGTTTTTTTTGCTTTTGTTTCCCTGGGCAAAAAAACCCTTGCTTTTAGTGTTTGTACTGCTGCTGGTCAGGACGTTAAACTATTGAAGTGTTTTTAACAATTAAAGAAGAAGAAAAGTAAAAGAGCTTACCACTGGCACCTATGCAGTCACGTCATTTTTGAGTTGCACCAGAAAGTGATGTTGAAAGGGACCTCCTCCCGGCCCCCTGGCCCGGGGTGGGGAGGGCACAGCCTCTGCGGAAAGAACCTGGCAGGAAGGGAGCGTGCGTTCTGTGACAGGACCAATTCTAAGGTGGCTTTACAGCAGCCCGTCTGAGAACAGGTGCAAAGTAGAAACCTTAGAAGCTTTCCTTCAGAGGCAGAGCTTTGTAAAAGCCTGCAAGTAGGGTAAACCATGCCTGGGCTTCCCCTCCTTGCGACTGACCAGCCCGAGCACAGGAGCAGCTGGGACCGGGGAGGGACCGTCTCCGTGCACACCAGGGTTTTCTTCCCATCCGGGTAGTTTCTCTCACCCGGATGGGCCGAAACCCGTGGCCAAAGCAGCCGGGGGCCGGCCTGTTGTGGGTGGGGGTGGAGGCAAGCACCTAGGTGGCCGGGCTCCCCTGCGCCTGGGGTCGGGGGTCAGGGACGGGCTGGCTGACCTTCAGCAAGGCTACTCACCGCGCTCGGCGGCAGCGCCCCGGGCCCCGGGCCGGAGCCGTGCAGAGCAGCTTGCTGGCAGATGGCGTCGTCGTTTTATCTGTTCCCACACAGTGTGCTTTGTACATCTGCCAAGAATCTTCCAGTTATTAGCAAACTCAGACAAAAAGTGCCGCCAGTATTATCAGCGGTCAACAAGCGCCTTCCTGTCCACAGAAACAACTGGAAGGGAGCGCAGGCCTGTTCCGCGGGCCTCCCCTCCCCTGCGAAGACCCTGGGCGACTGACATGGCCCACAGGTGGGGACAGGTGTTTGGAGGGGGCTCCTGCTGCCCAAGTCGGGCATAGATTCCCGAATTTCTCTCAAGGCGGCTGGCTCATATCCAAAAGAGCAAGCGCCAGGGCTCTGCCTCAGCACCCCGCTCCCTGCCCCGCCACCACCCCAGAAAAGGGCCAGACGCCCCCTCCTAATCGGCCAGGCAAGGGCTAGAGAGGAGACAGAGCACAGCACCCCCTCACGACCCGAAGGGAGCCCCTGGTTGGGGTGCTGTTAGGGGAGGGGGCTGTGGGGGTCAGGGGCACGCCCGCATGGGGGCGGCCCCCACCTAGGGGCGGGAGCTGTGGGTGGGGCTAGAACCCCTCTGGTCCCCGCCTCTAGAAAATATGGCCTTCCTCCGCCTTCCTGCACTCTGCCTCTTCACCCTCCCGCCTCGCGGCAATGAGACCATTAGGATGCGGCCCAGTAGGCAGCACGGAGAAACCACGAGAATGTGGAGAGAGCAGGGGTGCACCACCAGGACCCAGTGCCCGGTACCGGGCTGTCCTGTCCACTGGCTAGTTTCACTTTCAGAGGCTCTGGACACAACAGAACCACTTCTCTGCCGTTTGGGCTTAAAAAAGGACATACATACAATGTCTGTCAGCTCTTTCGCACGGAGTTGAGCCCAGCAGACCCGCTCTAGCATTCCTTACGAGGCTCGGGCCCGTTTGTTCGCGCAGACCTCTGCCTTTCACGACCTCCTATCTTCCCGCAGCCCCTGTCAAGGCGCGGGGGCGGGGCACACTCCACCTGCGAGGGCCCTCGAACCCCCAAAGCGGAGTCCTGCGGTTCTGCACGTAATCCCGTCATTAGAAACAAACCAGAGCTTTCCCCCAAGCTTGGCGCTGGCACAACCTGATCGGTTGAAAATGTTTCTTTTGATTAGAGCCAAACGGACATAAAGTCACGATCTTCCCCCATTATCTCAGATAAGTGGCCGAGATAGGACTTGACGGGTTTTTCTCCTACAGAACACAGGCTAAACGCTGAGCAAGCCTTCACATTCTAGTAGAGGACTTAGAGGAGCCCATACTCTCCGCAGCAGAGAATCAGAAGACGAGGTCTGGACGTAGAACAGGGTTTTCCTCAAGTAGCTCGATAATGCTGCCAAGTCTCAAAATTCAGGCGCCCCCTCTCCCTCTGAGCGGATTCGAAGCAGAAAATTCCAGGGACCCACCACAAGACGGAGCTGGTCAGCACAAGCCAATTCTGTGACTCTTAGGTGTTTCTTAGCCACTTAGAGGAATTAGCCCCCCCAACCCCCCCACGGAAACCAGTTACCAACTTCCTCCCGTCCCGCCTGCCAGTAGCCTGTCCCAGCTTTCTGGTCCAGCACTTAACTTCAGCTCCTTCACTCCGCCTTGACCCGGGCAAGACCACGCCGATCGGTGTTCCTTTGTGTGTACCCTGTGCTCAATTGCTAGGTTGGTAAAACCAGTACACGGGAGGGAGGAGGGATGCCTTGGTCACTCTGGGGGCAGTTTAGATGCTGTGAAATTAAACCTGTTCTAAGTGTACTCGTTTGAATTAATTGTATTGTAATATTATTTGTTGAATGTAGTAATTAGGTATTTATGAATATATTGCTGTAATTTCTGACAACATCCAAAAAAAAATAAAATCTTCCTAAATCCTGTCAAGAGGAAAATCTTTTTATATGTTCCAGTAGGGCCGAAACACAGCGGCTCAGCCGGCTGAGCTTTACAGGTGAAACGTGAAGACGGGTTCTAAAAGGAAGGGATGAAAGGGTGAGGTCTGAGCTCTGCAGGAATCCTGACTCTCTCCCCAGTAGCATGTGGTCTCAGCCTAGAAGGGTCCCCAGATGAAAAGGCAAGTCCTGTCATCTGAAGGCGATCCTCTCGACCGTCCCCTTAAGTGACAGACAGCCGTCCTCTCGGTGTCTGACCCTTCAGTGCTCAGATAAGAGCCGTCTGTCGGAGGACAGCTAGGGAGCACTCCGGAGCGGAGAAACAGTGCCTGAGTCACATCGGGTGAGTCTAGGCCTTGAACACCGAAGGGCAAACACCAGAGGCTGTTCTTTCAGCTCGGCTGATGGCGCGTGCACACCCGGCAGGCCCGAGGGGGAGAGCGCGCTCCTGACCGCACCACCACCCACAGCCAGCCGGGCACAGAACCTTCTAGCCCTTGTGTGCCTCCGACCCATCGTCTCTCCCCTCAGGTGAAGGGAATTTCTAGAGTGATTCTAAGCCACAACGGAGATGTATTTCTCCGAGGAGAAATGGATCCTTCCTTGAGGCCCTGCCTCCAACAATGCCTCCTCTCTGTCAGCAAGAGCAGCAGCACAGGCCGGACTTGCCCTCCCGGCACGCCACGTGCCCCCGAGCACACAATCATTTTCCCCACACTTTCCTTTTTTTTTTTAGGTTCTTAGTTTATGAATCTCGTGAAAACCCCGCAGGGCCCCCACTCCTTCTGTCCGTCATCTGTCTCCGGCTCACTGGTAGCCAGTTCCCAGGCCCCTGGACTTGCAAGTCTGTGTGTGGGTTCGTTCTGTCTGTGCATAATCAAGGAATCCTAAATCACGCCAAGGACTCAGAATGGCTTCTGAGTCCAAAGGGGACCTCTGATGTGGTCTCATGCATTTGAGTTTGAGAGTGTGCGCGCACACACACATGCAAGCGACAGAGAATCCCAAGCAGGCTCCGTGCTGTCCGTGTGGAGCGCAACGCAGGGCTCAAACCCATAAACCATGCAGCACTCGAGCCCAGAAACCATGAGCTTGTGTCCGGAGCCAAAACCGAGTCAGACGCTTAACCGACTGAGCCACCCAGGCACCCCCCTGGCTTTCCTCTTGATAAGCACCCCTGCACCTTGACCAGAAGTAGCCGAGAGAGCAATCCGATTACACCCGTGATCTCCCTCTGGTCAGTCAGACCATCTGAGGCCCAGGACTTGCCCCTTGGTAGTAAAATGCAGAAGAAAAACGCAGTGTGAGTTCTGGGGGGGACTCCGTCTTTATTGAGCTCACATGAGGAATTATGGTCAGTGGCTCACATGCCGTCCTCCGTGAGTGAACTCTAGGAGGGGCTAACTAAGCACTAAAGATGAGCATCGGCTGAGAAGGGGAAGCCCTGGGCTGCATCGCCAGTACACAGCCTCACCAGACACACACCGGCACGCGAGTCCGCACAGGAAGCCGGAGGCCCTGCCAGGAAGAAACACCACGTCTGGCCAAAGCCTCCTTCTCTCCCCAGCAAAGAACAGCTGGCTCCCAGAGACAGACGGCAAGTTCCAGGGAGTCTTGAGGCCGGAGCCCAAACCCGTTGCTTTCCGACAAAGTCACGAACCCATTCCTTGCTTCGGTACACAGTTTTTCACACGTTCAGAAGACACTTCTAGGACTCCAGAAGCGGGACTGCCTCTACCACGCCTCAGGTGCACGCACACATACCGGCAGGCGCAAGGCCTCGCTCTGCCAACCCAGGTCTTTCTTCTAGAAGTCCTGCGACGGGGCGCCCTCCGGAGGTTGCAGGTTTGTCCGGAGTTTGTACATGTGGTTGAGCGCTTGGGTGAGGAAGGCCCCGCTGCTGTTGATCTCCATCAGGGTCAGGTTATCCAGCTGAAACGCAAGAGAAAACCCGCTGGCTTGGTCGAGGAGACGTGAAGCCCCCCTACCAAACTTTGAAGTCACTCAGCACAGCCGGCAGTGCCGGGAGACGACTCCTTGACACCGGCAGGCAGCACCAGGTCCCCTGGGCGCCTGCCGTGGGGAGGGTGCCTCTGCACCCCCGCCCCCGGCGCCCACCCACCTTGGCGTGGGCCTCCTGCTGCCGCACAAAGCTGTCCGCGGACACCCGCAGTTTGGCGATGCGAGTGTCCCACACGTCCTTGATCAGGGTCCGGATCTCATCTGCTTTGGGGATGTTGTCTGAGGCACTGGGGGAAGCAAACGTGGGAGCAATCACGGAAGGAAGCGCTTGGTGACCCAGGGCCACGTCGGGGGGAAGCGCCCTTAGTTGGCAAGCAGGCTCCACACCCAGCGGGCGGCTCCCACTCACGACCCGAGACCAAGTGGCGCGCTCCAGCAACCGGCCCAGCCTGGTGCCCCTCCAGGGACAAGTGGCTTTTTAAAAAAACGCTGCTCGGATTCAGGAAACCACGAGCAGTTATCGACACACAATGTGTTTTCCTTGACTTTCCATTTAAAGACGTAGAACTCTTGAGCAGGGGAGTTCTCTGACCAGCTCAGAGGTCATGACTTCTGTGCTCACGCCTCACCATTTACCCAAGGGCTTACACCCCGCCAGGGAAGACGACAACGGCTCTGTGCCAGGCCCAGCCCGTGCTCGGCACCACGAAGCACAAGCCCCCCCAAAGCCCCGCGGCCTAGGAACTGCCCCGGTCCCCAGAGAAAGCAAGTACACTCAGACACCACAGAGGAAGCCACCAATTAGCATACACCGAGCAAAGCCATGTACGGTGGATTCTGGGTAAGAGTTTGAACTGGAGTCAGCAAGGGTCATTGCAGCAGCCCTCCCGGCATGAGCCAGAGTTTCAACTAACCTTTGAAGGAGAAGGCAACATAGAGGATGAAAGCAGAGGCCAACGCCGTCCGTCACCAGGCACGCTAGGAAGGCGGAAATGGTCTCCACGTGCGGAAAGTCGCTTGTGATTAGCAGTGGAGTAAAATCTATACAGTAGATTGAAGACCCTGCTCTGAATAGCAGGTTAAGGGACAAGGGACCCCAGCTACTTTGTTAACTGAACTGCAGAAGAGAGGTCAACTCGGCTTCCCTGGCCAAATAGGGTACAAAGAATATTCTAAAACAAGAGTGTCAATAGGAACCGCAGACACAAGATACTGGACTTCAAAAACTAAAGATGTTGGGGCGCCAGGGCGGCTCGGTTGCTTGAGCATCTGACTCTTGATCTGAGCTCAGGTCATGAGCTCATGTTTCAGGAGGTTGAGCCCAGAGCCTGCTTGGGCTCCTTGCTCTCCCTCTCTCTGGCCCTCCCCTGCTCAGGCTCAAAAAAATAAATCTAAAAAAAACCAACCAAGAGGAGCACCTGGGTGGCTCAGTGGGTTGAGCGTCCGACTTCAGCTCAGGTCATGATCTCATGGCTCCTGAGTTCAAGCCCCACTTTGGGCTCCATGCAGACAGCTCAGAGCCTGGAGCCTGCTTTGGATTCCATGTCTCCCTCCCTCTCTCTGCACCCCCCCTCTCTAATAAATAAACATTAAAAAACAAATAAAAGAAAACCAAAAAACTAACGATGATCATCAGGCCCATCACCTTGGCTTCCATATCTTCCCTTCCAAGTCACCACTCACACTGCCACTCGCGGTTCTCAGATCCATCGGCTGCCCTCCCAGGGACCCTGCAGCCACAGAACAGCAGCCTGGGCTCTCCCGCCCTTCACATCTGCCCCAGGAGCTCTGCTTTCCCCAACATAACGCCCCTGCCTTCTACCTACAGTGTCCTGTCCTCTGGTCAGTTTTCCCCAGCTTCAAGCCCAGGCCGCCTTCCCTGGCATCCCGGCACCCCTGAGCAGCACTTCCCACACCGCAGGGTATAACTGCCGGGGAACAGGCTCCCACCACATGGCTACTTCCACTACCTAGAGGAATGCTCAGTACTCTGTAAACAGCAGCCTCTTGTCACCTTAAGGATGAGTCCGGGTCACATACCCCAAATTTTCACTTGAATCCAGCAGTGTCATTCTGCAGGTCCCTGGCCCTTGCTCTGCAGCAGATGACAGGCGCTCCCCGATTTTTGTGCTAGCCGCCCTCCTGATTCCATCAGGGCTTCAAAAGCTTCAAGTTTTGCAAATTACGTTTTTTAAAAATTTATTTAGAGGGGAGCCTGGGGGGCTCAGTCAGTTAAGTGTCCGACTCCGGCTCAGGTCATCTCACAGTTCGTGAGTTCGAGCCCTGCATCGGGCTCTGTGCTGAGTGTGCAGAGCCTGGAGCTGCTTCAGATTCTGTGTCTCCCACTGTCTCTGCCTCTCTACTGCTCACTCTCTCTCTCCAAAATAAACATTTAAAAAAAATTTTAATTTTTTTTTTGAGAGAGAAAGAATGTGAGCAGGGGACAGGCAGAGAGGAGAAAGAATGCCAAAGCCCGACGTGGGGCTCAAAGTCACCAACTGTGAGATCATGACCTGAGCCAAAATCAAGACTTGGATGACTTGAGTCTGATGCTTAATTGACTGAGCCACCCAGGCCCTACATGTTTTTGGGGTTTTTTTAATTTTACTTTTTTATTTTTGGAGAGCAAGCACGCAGAAGGGGGAAAGGGACCGGGGGCGGGGGGGGTGAGGGGCAGGAGAGAGAGACTTAAGCAGGCTCCATGCTCAGCGTGAAGAGCCTAAGTAATGTCATTTTGAAATTAAAGCCTCCATTAAGAGCAACCTCGGGCTGCACGTAGCCCCAGTTCCTCAGACTGCTCAAGGCTAAAGCCATCCTCGGACCGCCCTCAGATCAGCTAATCAAAAAACATTCCTGTGGTCTGAGTCAAGGCTGGGAATTGTAGACAGTTATTCTGTACAAACTAGCCAATTTCTCACCGCTTGCCTGAACCCCACGTGGGCCCTCTGAACTCACCTCATAATTGGTCATTTCCAAAGGATTCTCAAAAGTCATGATTGGGTCCCACCAAAAGTAATGAACACCTCACAGATACTGAATGGTCAAAGCTGTAACTGTAATTGGTGCTTATGTGATGATGCTACATGTACTGTAACAACCCCATCCCTTACTCCTTAAAAACCCTTTTCGCTATTGTTCTTGGCTTCACCTTGCTGCCACGACACCGGTAGGCGGGTGAGCCCCTGCTCGCACTTGTAATAAAGACCCTTTTGTACTTGCATCGGTGTCGGCTCCTTGGTGGTCTCTGGGGACTCACGAATCGGGCACAACAAGTGCAGAGCCCAACATGGAGCTCGATCTCACAGCCCTGGGATCATGACCTGAGCCGAAATCGAGAGTCGGACACTCAACCAACTGAGCCACCCAGGCACCCCTCATTTTGCAGATTACATTCTAGTATCTCCCAAGTAAAACTCATCCACACTTGCCTACCCCCCTCTACTGATTGCCTTCATTCCTTCATTCAACAAACATGTGCACCAGGCACCGTGCTAGTGCAAACTAGTCCCTCCCCGTTCCCGTCAGCACTGGGGTGGGGGTGGCAGGGCACAGCCACACCAGTGACCAGAAGACAACAGCTGACAAGTGCCACGGGGCCTGCGAGCCGCCAGGAAGACAGGCACACGGAACCTGTGAGCGCCCCAGTCAGGCTAAGCTGAAGGAGGGCGCAGAGAACAGGGGGAACGGTACGGAGGCCCCGGGGACCCCGGTACGTGTGAAGAAGCGAGAGGGGCCGATGTGAGTCTGGAACCCAGAGCATCAGAGGTAAGAAGTGGAAGAGCCATGAGAGAAGGCAGAAGGAGCCGGGCCAGGCAGCGCTTCGCCGGCTGTAATCAGGACGTGAGCCTAAACCCTGGACAGGCTCCAAGGAACGGGGGAGTCACGAGGCCACTTCATCTTTAAAAGACAGCTCTGGGGGCGCCTGCGTGGCTCAGTCGCTTAAGGGTCCGACTCTTGATTTCAGCTCAGGTCATGAGCTCCTGGTTCAGGAGTGCTCTGTGCTGACGGTGCAGAGCCTGCTTGTGATCCCCTCTCCCTCTCCCTCTCTCTGCCCCTCCCCTGCTTGCACACACTCCCTCTCTCAAAATAAATCAACTTCAGAGGAAAAAAAAAAAAGACCCCTCTGGCTGCAACATGGAGAATGAATCGGAAGGAAATGGGGAGCAGCGCCTGGGTGCGTCCGACTCGGTTTCGGCTCAAGTCATGATCTCATAGTTGTGAGATCGAGCCTCACGCTGGGCTCCATGCTGGGCGTGGAGCCTGCTTAAGATTCTCTCTGCCTCTGCCCCTCTTCCCGGCTCACTTGCTCTCTCAGAGAGAAAAGTTCAAACAGCAGCAGCCACTGGGGGCCCAGCCTGGCCCCGGGGACCCAGAAGTCAAGGCACGTCTGCCAAGAGCGGGCTTTCCTCATGGCCAGGGCTCAGAGCAAGCGCGGGCCCTGTGGCCCTTCCCGCAAAGGACGTGTGAGATCTCCAGCACACGGAGACCGAGGGGGACGCTTCACTGATAAAGCAGAGCTGCCATGAGGAATAAGGGCGGGGGAGGACATTGGAGGCTCGCACTGGGGTCCGACGCCAAGGGACTTCCCAGGAGAGGGAGGGGTGGGAAGAGGGAAGGGAGAAACCGGCACGGGCACGCACACCAACACCTCCCGGGTTACTGGTCTGAGCAAGCAGGCAGCCGGGGACGCCACTGACCCCGGAGATGAACGTGTGTGTGGCGGGGGGGACGGGATGGGGCTCCGGGAGGAGACTCGGGATCCATCTCACACGTGGGCTCCAAGAGGGGAAAGGGACTTACTGGTTCAACAGGAGCTTGGTAAGTTCCATGTAGTACGGGCTGGGCATGGGGGTGAAAGTCTCCTCCTTTCGTTCATGATCACGAATCTTCTCCAGCTTTTCTGAAATTTAGAAGAGCACACATTTTACCATCACTGTGCCCAACATAGCTTCTAAGCCTCCCGGGTCTACCACGTGTCTGTATTACCTATTCCATTAACTAACAGAAATGTGAAGAAGAAGAAAAAACGCTTTTTGGAAGAACACAACACTCACTAGATGATTCAGGGTTATTTCTCTTCTAGAAGGGGCTAAATTTCTTCCGCCGCTGCGGCTTTGGCCACGGGGTCTGTTACTGAAGAAAAGCGGTCAGAGTCTTTGGGGCAAGAGCACAGCGTCCAGCCTTTGATGCACAGGGGGCTGTGGCTGGAGAAAGTTACTCCGGCTGCAGAGGGGGGGCCGGATGCCCGCAGCTGGAGTCACTCACCGGAGCCCAGGCCCATCTCCCCGTCCTACTGGTCAGAGAAAGCCCCGGATCTGGACTCGCCGCTGTGGCTAAAGGATACACACACAACTATGCTAGGGGGTAGCGGCCCCCATTCTCCGGGGAGCCCGGTGCCATACCACAGCCCCACCAAAGCTCCAGTCTCACGCCGGGTGTAGATAGGACTTAAAAATCCTCCCGACACCGGCTACCAAACCATGTTTTCAAGAGTTAAATTCCCTTCTTCGACCACTCAGGGTGGGCGTGGGGGGGTGTGTGTGTCTATTCTATCCCTCGGCCAACGCAGCTCACCAAGAACCATGACCTCCGCTCAGCCAGACCCAGCGGTTCCTTCCGTCTTCACATCTGACAAAGATGAAGCCTCCCCAGAGCGTATTTATTATTTGATTTCCGAGTGCTCCGAGTTCTCTTATCTCACGGATTCTTCCAGGCCATCCTGACCTCTCTCTCCACACTGGGACCCAGAGCTCAGTTCCCTGCCGCCTTCGCCACCCTCACCCTCATCCCGTGTGGCTTCGTCCTGCCTCACCCGAACACCGTCTAAGCGCGCACGACGGCCTCCTCGTTCCTAGCCCCCGGTCTCCACTTCCCAGGGAGTGACCGGCACTGCCGCTCACAGTGTTTCCGCCCGGGTAGCCAACAGGCACCTCCAGTGGGACTCGGTCCCGACCCCAGCCCCCGCGCTCTTCAGTCTCCCGCAGCTCAGGAGGATGCGCCTCCAGCTCCTTCTGTAGTCCAGGCCAGCAACCCCGGCATCCATTCTCGTTTTGTTCAGTTTATTTATTTATTTATTTATTTATTTTCAGAGAGACAGAGAAAATCCACCAGGCTCCACACTGGCAGCACAGAGCCCAACACGGGGTTCGAATGCATGAACTGTGAGATCATGACCTGAGCCGAAACCAAGGGTCTGGCGCTTGCCTAACCGACTGAGGCCCCCAGGCGCCCCCACCCAGGCGCCCATTCTGAACTCTCCTCTCAGATCCCACAGCCTGTCCTTCAGCAAATCCTGTGGATTCTTCCTTCAAAACACACCTGGGGGCGCCTGGGGGGCTCAGTCACTTGAGCGTCCAACTCGATTCCATTTCGGCTCAGACCGTGAGGTCATGGTTTGTGGGTCTGAGCCCTGAACAGGACTCTGCGCAGACAGTGCAGACGAAACCTGTTTGGGATTCTCTCCCTCCCTCCCTCCCTCCCTCTGCCCCTCCCCTGCTCACATGCTCTCTCTCAAAATAAATGAACTAAAACACGCCTAGACTCCAACCATGTCTGCCCGCCTCCAGCAACTGATCAAACCACTCTCAGCCTGGGTTCTCCTTACTGCCCTCCCCCTGCCACCCCCGCCCCCCACCCCTGCACACCTCTTCTCTATCCAGTTGACAGACCCTTCTCCAGCATCTAAATCCCTATGAAATACCTCTGTTCAAACTCTGCAGTGAATCCAAAAGACAGACATCACCCAGTGAGGGCCAGGCTGTGGAACGATGGGATAGTAATGGCCCAGCCCCTCTGGAGGGCTGGCTGGCACTTTTTAAAAAAATTTTTTTAATGTTTATTTTTGAGAGAGATAGATCACAAGTGGGAGAAGGCCATGGGGCGCCTGGGTGGCTTAGTCGATTAAGCGTCCGACTTTCGCTTAGGTCATGATCTCACGGTTCGTGGGTTCGAGCCCCGCGTCGGGCTCTGTGCTGACTGCCAGCTCAGAGCCTGGAGCCTATTTCAGAGTCTGTGTCTCCCTCTCTCTTTGACCCTCCCCTGCTCACGCTGTCTCTCTCTCTCTCCTAGAAATAAATAAAAATTTAAAAAATATTAAAAAAAAAAAGTGGGAGAAGGCCAGAGAGAAAGAGAGAGAGAGACTGATAGACACAGAATCCGAAGCAGGCTTTGGGCTCTAAGCTGTCAGCACAGAGCCCGATGCAGGGCTCGAACCCACGAGCTGTGAGATCATGACCTGAGCTGAAGTCCGACGCTTAACTGACTGAGCCACCCAGGTGGCCCCCCGTCTTTTTTTTTTTTTTTTTAGCAAGATCTGCCCTAGGACCCCGCAATCTGCCGCTCTAGGTATTTCCCCTAGAGAACTAGAAACCTAGATCCACAAAAAGACTTGGCCGGGAATGCATAGAACAGCCCCGCTAGCAGTAGCCAAAAATGGGAGAGGATGCAAACACCCACCACCGGAAGGATGGGTGAGCACACTGTGGAGCGTCCTGCTCGGCGCTCAAAGCGACCAAACGGCAAGTGCGAGAGCATTCAAGGAGAGAAGTCAAGACTTATGGGGCGCCTGGGTGGCTCAGTCAGTTAAGCCTCCCATTTCGGCTCAGGTCATGATCTCACAGTTCGTGGGTTCGAACCCTGCGCTGGGCTCTGTGTTGACAGCTCAGAGCCTGGAGTCTCTTTCAGATTGTGTCTCCCTCTCTCTCTGATCCTCCCCCGCTCATGCTGTCTCTCTCTCTCAGAAGTAAATAAAACAGTAAAAAAATTTAAAAAAAAAACAAAACAAAACTAGGTGGTTCCCTTCACAGGGCACCCAGAGGCAGGTGGAACTCACTGCTAGTGGCAGAATCAGAAGGCAGCTAGCTCTCGGGCCGAGTCCACTGACCAGGGACATCGCACTAATGCTCACCCCTTAGCCCAGCCTGGCCCTGGCCCGTGAGAAAGCTCAGCCCTCCACACCTTCTCCAACCTGGCCTGTGACAAGACAGGCTCTGGCCCGTCACCTGGGTCCGGATGGACCAAAACTTCCATTAGAGGAGGCAGCGCTAACAGAGCCCGAGCCGGCGGCGTGCCCTGATCTGGCAAGTCCCTTCAGAAGAGGGAATGAGGGCTTCCCTTTGTCGCACACCCGCCAGGGCCGCCTGCACCCCCTTTAGGACCAGCAGGAGAAAATGCCCGCAGTCTTTCGGAAACGCACTTGAGAGTGCCCGGCTCAGAGGAGGCCTTACTTCTAGGTGATTCCCCAGGTGATTCCCATTTGGGAGGGGACAATCAAAGCCACTCAGGGGTTGTTCAAATTCCGTGTGTGCCCCCATTCCGAAAAAAATGGCTCTTCTTTGTAGAAGGAGCCGCTGTGGTCTCTGAGTTAGGAAAAAGATGGCAACGGCTCAGGATAAAGTCTGTCTGCATTGTTGACACATCATTTTCTTTTTTCCTGAGGCATAATTAACGCACATACAGCTCACCCATTTAAAATGCACAGTTCAGGGGCACCTGTGTGGCTTAGTCGGTTAAGTGTCCGACTTTCGCTTAGGTCATGATCTCGCGGTTCGTGGGTTCGAGCCCGGAGTCAGGCTCTGTGCTGACTGCCAGCTCAGATCCTGGAGCCTGTTTCAGTCTGTGATTCCCTCTCTCTCTGACCCTCCCCTTATCATGCTGTCTCTCTCTCTCCTAGAAATTAAAAAAAAAAAAAAAAAAAACATTAAAATGCACAGTTCAGGGGCGCCTGGGTGGCTCAGTCGGTTGAGCGTCCACCTTCGGCTCAGGTCGTGAAGTCACGGTCGGGCTCTGTGCTGACAGCTCAGAGCCTGGAGCCTGCTTCCAATTCTGTGTCTCCCTCTCTCTCTGCCCCTCCCCTGCTTGCACCTGCGCTCACTCGCTCGCTCTCTCGAAAATAAACAGATTAGAAAAAAAAATTTTTTAATGCCCAATTCAATGGTTTTTAGTATATTCAGAGCTGCATGTGATCTTTGTGTAGCATGACCAGTCCTTCGTTCCTTTATACCAAATAGTATTCCCTCGTTTGGACAATGCGTCATTTTCATGCGTGGCCTGTGATGCGGAAGGACTCTGCGCCTCGACGTGCACCTTATAAACGTTTCCTAAGCAAACTGTACCCCTGCTGTGGGGCCAGAACGCACAACCCCGAGATCAAGGGTTGCACAGTCTACCGACTGGACCAGCCAGGTGCCCCAGTGGAGTTATTTTTTAAAACTTACAAGAAATACCTCATCAAGGTTATACAGTATTTTTTAAATTTAAAGCAAGTTCAAATATCTTAAAGTCGAAACCTGAGCAAAAAGTGGTTTGTTTCTCAGACTGACATGACCTTGGTAACAGCGGTGGGCGAACTCTGCCAGGGGAGCCGCCAATCATTCATCATTAACTTCCACTGAGCAGCGGCTGATGGAGGCGGGGGGAAGGGGCCCCTGCTCCCACCCAGAGGAGGGTGTCCCCAGCCCTGCTGCCCCCAGCGCTTACCCACGTCCATCCACTCAGGAGGAATCAGCCGGCACTTCTGTCTCTGTTTCAGGTTAATCGCCAGCCACAGGGGCACTTCCACTGGTAACCCAGGGTTAAAAGGCCCCAGGTCGCCCTGGCAGAGGAAAATCAGGTTCCAGGTCAGACCCAACAGGGCGAAAGGCGATGGGGGACCCCGCCGCGGGGAAACAAGAGGAAGGACGTGCACGGGCTGAAACCTAAAGAAAACTAAAAGCCCAGGTGTGAGCACAGACCCAGTAAGGCGGCTCCAAGCTGGGAGCGCGCGGGGGGCAGCTGCCCTCACCTGCGCGCACCTGGCCGGCCCGCCCCAGCTGCCCGGCTCTCGGGGGAAGCCACGCGGAAGCCCACGGGGAACAGCTGAGGGGCCGGGCCCTGCCCGAGCCTCGGCCATTCGGGGTCCGCCCCCACGCCGCCGTACTCACCCCCCAACACTCAGGGTTCCCCCACGACCACTCGGTGTCCCCCACCCCGTACTCCCCGCACGACCACTCGGGGTCCTCACCCGAACTCCCCCCGAACACTGGGCGCCCCCCACCCCATACTCCCCCCCGACCCCTCGGCGAGTCGGAGGCCAGGCGGGCGTCAGCGGAAGCTCCAGCACTACGGCCTTTCCCAGGAGTCGGGGCCTGAGGCAAATGCCCAGCCCTTACCCCAATGAGGTAGATCTTGTCCAGGCTGAAGTTTGGGATAATGGTAACCAGCTCCTTCTCAGCCAAAAACTCCACCTCAGCCGCGTCCATACTGGCCCCAGCAGCCGGCCCGGGACTAGCCGCCTCCCGCAGCCCGCTAAGGTCCAGGGAAGCGCGGAGGCCTCAGCTTTCCCGCCACCTCGCGGGGCCCGCCCCAGGCCGGAACGAGCCTGGGCCAGCCAATAGCAAAGCGGCGCTCTCCCCTGAGAGGCGGGAGGCGGGAGGCGGGAGGCGGGAGGCGGGGACCGCGGCCGCTTCGAGCCCACGGATTGGCCAACGTCAACGAGGCTGAGAGAAGACCACGCCCCCCAGGCTCCCGGCCCTGGCTCCGCCCCTCAAGCGTCTCCGTCCCGCCCCTTTCACGCCGCAGCCCCGCCCCTCCCGTGGCCGGGTGCCTCCCCCCTCATGGAGTCACCCTGCTCCTTCCGCGGCCCGACCACGCCCCCTCCCGGCTAGACCTCGCCCCTCCGTCTGCCGCTCTGACGGCCCGGCCCACCCCCTCCCGTAGGGCGGCCCTCAAGGCCAGGCCCCGCCCCCTCACGTCCCGCGTCGACGTCCCACCCCCTTCCGCGTCCCGGCCACGCCCCCACCCCGCCCTGCTCCCGCCCCTCTCCCGGCCCCACCCCTCCCCGCCCGCGTCGCCGTCACAGCCCCTCCCGCGGCCCCAAGCGTCCAGACCCCGCCCTCTCCGCGCCCCTCTTTGGGCCTGGCACCTGGCGCCGCCTGCCCTGCTGCCCTGTTACCGCGCTTCCGCGCCCACCCGCCTGTCCCGGCGCCCACCCGCCAGCACCCCGGTTCAGGCCGCGGGCGGAGCGCGGGGCACGCCTGCACTGCGCCCCGCACGGGGCCGCGGGGAGTGCGCTTCCCGGGCCGCGGCGTGACCTCGCCCCCGGACGGACGCAGCCTGTTTCCCTTAGCTTCACAGTCTTCGGCCCTGTCTTCCCGTATTGCTTGGAGCCTGTAAAAATGCCGACCCCTGCACCCCACCCACATTGCCAATTCAGAAAGTTCGGGAAGGGGCGCCTGGGTGGCTTAGTCGGTTAAGCGTCCGACTTTCGCTTAGGTCATGATCTCGCGGTTCGTGGGTTCGAGCCCCGCGTCGGGCTCTGTGCTGACTGCCAGCTCAGAGCCTGGAGCCTGTTTCAGTCTGTGACTCCCTCTCTCTCTGACCCTCCCCTGCTCACGCTGTCTCTCTCTCTCTCCTAGAAATAAATAAAACATTAAAAAAAAAAAAAAGAAAGTTCGGGAAGAGGCTGAGTGTGCGCGTGGGCAAGGGCCCAGGCGAGGTTCCTGAAGGCCCTGCACATACTACTGACGTACTTCTGTGTTCGCCCCCCATACCCCGGGCTTCTGTGACACCTAATAGCAGCGGTCTCACACTCTCTCCTGTGTCGGAATCCTCTAGAAGGTGTTAACATGCACACTTGCAGAAACTGCCTTTTTAACCAGGGCCAGGAAAGCTTGCTGGGGGGTGAAACTGCTAGTGCAGGCTCATAGGGACAGGCCCTGGGCTGAATTTGAACCCTTGATCATTAGGCCCTGGAGACAGGATTCCGGTGTTCTGAATCTGCCAGGAAAGCTGCCCCCCCCCCTCCCCGGCCCAGATAGCCCGGTGCTTTCCTCCCTAGCCCCCTTGAAACTTGCCCCACGTGCCTGCCCCTTGTAGGGTTGTTGGAGAGAAGAAATAAGGCCATAATTAAGACAAATACTTACAAAGCCTGGCTGTCTCAGGCTGTGGAGCAGGTGGCTCTGTTTTTTGTTTTTTTTTTAAAGTACTTTCTATACCCAGCGTGGGTCTTGAACTCATGACCCTGAGATCAAGAGTCAGATGTTCTACCAGCTGAGCCAGCGACGCACCCCAGAGGGAGCTATTCTTGATCGTGAGGTCCTGAGTTAGAGCCCCTCCCTGAGCGTGGAGATTACTAGAAGAAGAAAAAAAGGAAAAGAAATAAAAGTTCCCTTTGGATGCTGTGCGACTGAAGGCAAGTGACTACTTTGAACCTCAGTCTCTTCATCTGCAGACGAGGTAGGAATGAGATGGACCCGGGGACGTTTGGGGAAGTGGGGGAAGCGGCAAGCCACCTGGTCCGTCCTGAAATAGAAGCTCCCTCGGGCATCTGCAGAGAGTGTGTGCCAGCTTGTCTGGGTTTTGACTGATAGGGGAATGTTTTCTTGACTGGCAAATATTTGTGTTCCACAGTTGGCGAGCCTTCCCTCCCTGATTTTCACAGCCTGTAAAAGAGCAAAGGAAAAGAGCTGGCGGCAAAGCCGGGGTTCGGAGAGACCGTCACGCACGGTGGGACGAGTGGAAAAGCTGGCGGAGCCCGGGGTCCACACCACCTGAGACTCCTTGTCCTTGTCTGTAGAATGGGGGCAGGGCTGCTCCTTACCTCGCCGGGCTGCTGACGGAACAAGATGAGACGGTGGGCAGCGTTGCACACTGCAAAACGATGACGTCCTGGAGTCTCAAACAGGAGCGTGCGTCGGGGTCACCTGAGGGGCTGTTAAATGTCTTCCCATCCCTGGAAGCATGACTCACAACAGCTAAGAGGGGGAAACCACGCAAAAGTCCATCAGCTGAGGGATGGAGAAAGACAACAGTCTGTATAGACTGTGGACTATTATTCAGCCACAAACAGGAACGAGGCACTAATTTCTCTACAATGTGGATGAACCTTGAAAACACTATGCCACATGAGAAAAAGCCAGGAACAGGGGCGCCTGGGGGGCTGAGTCGGTTGAGCGTCTGACTTTGGCTCAGGTCATGATCTCATGGTTCGTGGGTTCGAGCCCCACATCGGGCTCTGGCTGACGGCTCGGAGCCTGGAGCCCGCTTCAGATTCTGCGTCTCCCTCTCTCTCTGCTCCTCCCCGGTTTGCACTCTGTCTCTCTCTCTCAAAAACAAATAAACATTTAAAAAATAAACTGTCATTTCATCAAAAACAGAGTCTAAAAAACTGTCGCAGCCTGGAGAAGCCTAAGGAGACATAACGAAATGTCACTTGGGGTCCTGGAACAGAAAAGACATGGGGGAAAACCTGATCAAATGTGAATAAGGAGGGGCGCCTGGGGGGCTCAGTCAGTTAAGCGTCTGACTTCAACTCAGGTCATGATCTCATGGTCTGTGAGTTCGAGCCCTGCATCAGGATCTGTGCCGACAGCTCAGAGCCTGGAGCCTGCTTCAGATTCTGTGTCTCCCTCTCTCTCTGCCCCTCCCCTGCTCACGCTCTGTCTCTCTCTCTCAAAAATAAAATAAAAACATTTTTAAAAATGTGAATAAGGAATGGACTTTAGTTAATAATAGTGTACCAGGAAACAACAGGTGTTAGTGAGGATGTGGAGAAAGGGAAAACCTCTGGCACTGCTGGTGGGAAGGCAAACTGGTGCAGCCGCTCTGGAAAACAGTGTGGAGGGTCCTCAAAAATTAAAAATAGAATTACCATCTGATCCAGTAACTCTACTGCTGGGTACATATCCAAAGAATACGAAAACACTAATTCAAAAAGATACGTGCATCCCTATGTTTATTGCAGCCTTATCTGTAAGAGCCAAACTATGCAGCCCAAGTGTCCATCAACTGACGAAATAAGGAAGACGTGGCATATATACCACAGAATATTACTGAGCCATAAAAAAAGAATGTGATCCTGCCATTTGCAATGACATGGATGGAGCTACAGAGTATAATGGTAATAAGTGAAAGAGAAAAGTGAAAGACAAATACCATATGATTTCACTCATATGTAGAATTTAAGAAATAAAACAAACGAAGAAAAGGAGAAAAAGAAAGGCAAGCCAAGAAACAGGCTCTTTTTTCTTTTTTTAACGTTTATTTCTTTTTGAGAGAGAGAGAGAGAGACAGAGTGCGAGCAGGGGAGGGGCAGAGAGAGAGGGAGACAGAATCCAAGGCAGCCTCGAGGCCCTAGGCTGTCAGCACAGAGCCGGACGCGGGGCTTGAACTCACAAACCATGAGATCATGACCTGAGCCGATGTCGGACGCTCAACCGACTGAGCCACCCAGGCGCCCCAAGAAATAGGCTCTTAAGGACAGACAACACACTGATGGCGACCAGAGGGGAGGTGGGGGGGGGCGGGGGGGGGGGACAGGTGATAGGGATTAAGGAGGGCGCCTGTTCCGATGAGCACCGGGTTGTAGGGAAGTGTTGAACGTCCTGAAACCAATAAACACTGTACGCTCACTAACTGGAAATAAATCTTGCACCTAAAAAGTCATAGTGTCTCAAAATTGGTTCATTAATTTTGACAAAGGGACCAGAGTAGGTAAGATTTAGGGCAGGGGAACCTAAGTGGACACTCTGTGGGAATCCTCTGTAGTATTTTTGCAACTTTTGTGTAAATCTAAAGCTCTTCTTAGAAAAGATTATCTAAAGAAATCTCGGGGCGCCTGGCTGGTTCAGCTGGTGGAACATGTGACTCTGTGTTTCGGGGATCATGAATTCAAGCCCCAGCCTCGGAACCCTCTCCTTTAGGGCTCCGCCAGGCGTCTAAACACTCTTTTTTTTTTTAATGTTTTATTTATTTCTAGGAGAGAGAGAGAGAGAGAGACAGCGTGAGCAGGCGAGGGTCAGAGAGAGAGGGAGACACAGACTCTGAAACAGGCTCCAGGCCCCGAGCTGGCAATCAGCACAGAGCCCGACGTGGGGCTCGAACCCACGAACCGCGAGATCATGACCCGAGCGAAAGTCGGGCGCTTAACCGACTAAGCCACCCGGGCACCCCTAAACACTCTTGAAACTGAACCCGTCGCCTCATTCAGCCCAGCAGAAAACAGCACTCGGAACATGAGTCCGCATCTTGGACTTCGGACCTTAAGGCAGCGGGCCTTCCTGCCGCGACAGAAGTGTCCTGGAGCTGTGCCATCCACGAGGGCAGCCACCGAGCCCCAGGTGGAAACATGTGCAGCATGAGCCACCGACTCGGGCCTGGGGTCCTCCCAAGGGCCAGGCAGGCCTGCGCCCCACCGACGCGCCCCCACCGGCGATTCTTGGGCTGAGCGTGTTTGGGACGCCCTGCGGGGCGTCCGCACAGATTGTTCGTTCAGTCCTTGATTAATTTACCTTGAGGTCTGAGTCCCGGCCACGTGGGAGCGACTGTCTGATAGGGAGGGGACCAGCACG